TGTTGCATGGACAGAGAACTAGAGTAGCTTACAAGCCATTCTTTGTGGCCTTTAAGACCCTCCTTCTTGAGAACCTTAACAACAACAGGAAGAGATTTGAGACAACCAGAACATTCTCATCAATATAGCCCTTGTAAACAATCGCAAAAGAAACAACCCTTAAGTCAAAAAGAAATAGCACCTGTTATAATCTTGATCTTTTTAAACAAGTTGTAATGATCGAATAACATAAATAACGGGAGCCATGGAACCATGAAAACCTTCAAGAAACCAAACCCACATAAAAATCCCCATCAGAAAATGTAAAATTTTACAAAAAAAAAAAACGTAAATATTTCAATAACCTCCAAAATTGTATTCCTTCAAAACTATATAGGTTAAAATTGCATTTAGCTGCCATAGAATGTGTTGAATCAAGAATAACATACATTCATAAACATAACCATATGAAGGAGGTGGTGGAGGACGGACAAGTTAGGGCAGATAAGAGTGGAGCAGGGCAGTGAAGCAGTAGTGTAGGCTACGAACCACAAATAAGGCACGATTCTGTCTCCCAAAATTTTGAATCGATAAACTGTGGGATAGACAACGAGATTTTTTGATTTTTGGGAATGAATCAGAGTAGGTATCCTTAGAGGATTTGAGTTTAGGTGACCGACATTTATCTCGAGGAAGGGAGAAGAATCGGTAAGTGCCAAAGGGAGATAGAAACAAGAAAGAATGGGAAATATAGATATCGATTTGTTTGGAATGAGAAACTGAGACACCATAGCATCCCCAAATTAAAGGCCCCAAATGGAGATTCATAAGCATTTAAATGAAGAAAAAAAGGAGAAGGGAAACTCTTGAAGAGGGAAAACCTTGATGATTGTAATGGAAACGATATCATCGCATCCATTTGAATCACCAAAATAATGATGAGATATAATGGTCATACCTTCCGTTAGATGTGGTGGAGTTTCTCTTAAGTCGTTTCGTCATAGAGATGTAGGATGGAAGGAGGCGAGATCTAGGGTTTGAGTATGAGAAAGAATTATTATAGATTCGCCGGTGATCGGAAGTCATTAATCGTACTCTAGACTCTTAGATCCTTAGGTTCGACGGTGAAGGCGGCAACTTAGGATTTGCAAAGAGAAGGGAAGTAGAGAGTGTTCGGCTGGTGGAGATGTAGAAGAGAGAACGTGCAGTAGAGGAAGGCGGGGCAAGTTCTTCACAAAAAGCCCTAAAAAAGGAAGGTAGGGTTTTTAAGTAATTGGGATTTCATTTTTCCCTCCGGATGGAACGCGCCTGACTATTAGAATCTATAAAGCGATAGCCTTACACGACACACATTTTATTATAGGTGCCCTCCGTGTTTTTTTTAGACACTAATTACAGGGCACGCAAAAATGCGTGTTCTAAATTCTTTAAATTTTAAGAGAGATGACATTATTTTTAGTGCACGCACTAATGTGCATCCTCTATCAGTGAGTGTCATTGTTTGCACGTCATTAAAGGGCTGTTTTTTAGTAGTGAACCGACCTCCATAAGATTCCTTAGACAAAATCTTATATGCCCAAGCTATAAATTTCTTCCACTCCCATCCAAGGAGTCCCTAGGCCCAGTTCCACAACTATCAACAATTTACAAAACAAACCTCCATTATTAATTAGTTCCTTTAATCCCATAATTAATATCAAATTAATTTCTGATTATTCACCAATTAATAATATGATTTCCAAATAACATAGTAATCTTATAATATATTAATAAAATCATTTTGAGTACCAATTTTTTAATTCAAATAATAAATCCTACTCTCTCTCCACCAATCATCCTGTCAAGTTGCATGAGTGAAGGAAACCCAAAAGGACCATGCTCCAATCAAATCAAGTACATATGAATTACAATCATGGGCTTAGACACTTAATCCAATAGAAAAAGTGTTTGAGAAAAATTAAGAGTTTTTATTTGGCTTTAAAGAAACATTATCGAATGTGGATCTTTCAATTCAATCTTCTATTTATCAATAATCCATTTCTACAATAGTTTCGAAGATTGAGTCAAGCTTCAAAGTTGAGTTGCCTCCAATCCTCAATTTGGTACTTCGTGTACTAACAAATGATGCAATTTTTGCACATATCTCGCAAGGGGGAGAAAGAGGAGTTGGTTCTAATGGGTTTTAAAGGTAGAAAAATCATACTTTTGGCAGAATACCTAAAACCCTAAGTTCTCATACACCCTAAAGGATTTATTTTCTCACTATGATATGCAAACAACAATTTGAATTTAAGAACCCTAAAGTATATTTCTGTTTTCAGTTTAGGAGAATTGATAATAGAAAACATGCCTTTTAGTTTATTACTTTAAATAAACTATCAATCCTTCTTTGTAGAACTTCAAAAAGTCAGCACCAGAAATCTCATGCCTCTGATGGCTCACACCCAAACCCTAGAAGTTGGAGGCTATTGAAGAGAGTGGAGAGGGAAAGTAGAATTTTTTCTTTCTCTTGGAAGAATGCGATAGCCAAAATTTGGTACCCCATGGAGGGTTTATATAGGTGATCAAGGGAGCTAAGAATAAGGCGGTTTCCTTAGATAAGCACTATCTCCTTAAATTCCTCCCTAAAACATCCAAGACACCCTTAATGCCCAAGGAAACCCTAGAACCATTCTAGAATTCGAACAACACTATTAGGAGGTTCTAGAATTGGTCAATGCTTAATATTTTGAACACTTTTAATTATTCCAGTTAATTCCATTAATTTATGATTAATTTAGAATTAAATAATATAATTTTGAATTAACATATTTTTCTCAAAACATATTAATAAATTATTTATTTTGATTTCAAATTAATTTATTAATCATATAAGAAATTAATAAATCAATATTTCTCTCCGAATAGCATTCTGGTCTTTTACTAAGTTTGTGGGAAACCCAAAAGGAATGTGCTAACAATTTAAGTTTATAATAATTTAGCTAATGGCTTATACACCTAATCCAATAGGTTTGTCTAAGGGATATGGTGAAAAAACATGATTAGTTGTGGGGATATTTATGTTTACTCAAGTACCAACAACAATCCCAATGAAGCCAGTAATAACATAATCAACAACAACCACTACAACAAGGAATATTGGTCATTCGAAAGTCCAAACAAAACGGATATCGATCAATGAAGGAGCTGGAGGTTTGAGTTCAATCCTTGTCAAGATAATTTCTAATGTTGATCCTAAAGATAAAGGGAAAAACATTCAAGTTTAACAATCAATAGAAGAGAATAAAAGATTACAAGCAATTAAGATAGAAAGACAAAGACAAATTAATAGCATTTTGAGTCAAAGGGTGAATGATCGACCATGATTGAATAATGGTGATCCTAAAAATCATTAATGTTATGAAAAAAATCGAGATAGAAGTACTTGATAAAATTCATGAATCCTTGAAAAGGCCCAAGAAAATCTATGACACCGAGAACTCAAAATTCAGTCAGCTTGACTTCCTATTTAATCATCTATTGTTCACATCCACTTAGTTCAAAATTGCAGAGAATTTCAATGACAAAGATGAATTCAAGAGATTAAAGATCCATTTTCATGCGGTTTTGGGAAAAGTGAAGAGGAGGTGTGGTCGTTGGTGAAGATTGCCAAAGTGATGTCGATAGTACCTGATGTATTATTTGAAGGATTGTTGTAGAACTTTCGTTATTCTGTCATAAGGACAAATACTACGACATTAGAGTTCATCATTTCATACTTTCCTTTGATGAATTTGAATGATCTTATCATGGTAACTAAAATCTTGTGCAATGTTGATGTATTAAAAGTGGAAGAGGAGAATAAAGATGCATTTATTATTGATTTTGCTCATATAAAGATGTTTATTGATAGTTATTAGGAGTATTTGGCGATAATAGATATTGATCTTGCTATGGCAGTCAATAAAACTTCTAAGGTACCACAATCATTGTTGAATGGGGAGATGAACATCGAGGTATTTGAAAATGGTGAGATTATGCATCAACCTTTTAGAGTTGTTTTTCAAGGAAAGAGCAAGAAGGACAAGTTAACAAAATTTTGTGTTCCAAGTGAATGAAATCGAGAGGTACACAAACTATCAATTTTCCAATCTTTTGATCTACATTAATAGCTTCAAGAAGAATGAAAAACGTAGACAAAGTGGAGATTCGAAAAATCATTCTTTGGTACATGGAGGATAGAAGGGAGTTGTTCCAAATAATTAAGATTATAGCTTGAAGTTTCGACTATGCTCACTAAGGGTGAGATTGTAGAGTTGAAAGTAGTAGTGAGTAGTCGGAAGCTATATCTTTAGGTTTCATGTTTGCAAATAATGAGAGTTACACACTTTCGTTATCTTATATATTTAAAAGGCATTTTCTAATTTTGAAACTTATGGTCAAGTCCTTGAAGTTTTTGTAAGTCTAATGTACCCTATAAATAGGGTAAGTACTTAGGTATAGAGTAACGAACATTCTCTAATTAATTTTTGTACTAAAAAACCTTTGCACTCATTCCAGGTATATTCGGAGCTAAATAGATCTTATTTAGATCTTGTGTTCGTTATTGATTTCATATATTAGATTGATTCAAATATTAATTCAAAAACTCTTTAGTGTGTGTCACTGGTGTATGAACTACATAAATATTGCAGCAACCCAACCCCTTTGATTACAAAGAAGAGTAAAAAGAAGAAAGCATATTCTTTTTTTCCTGCTATCTAATTCATAGGTGGGTTAAAAAGATGAGGAACATGGGTTGGTGAAGAGTAGTTCATGCATATATAAAAATAAAGAAATATTGTGATGAACCCCCTTAAAAGAAATTGTTAAATAAGGGCAATCGCCTCTCCCCATACACCACCATATTAGTATGGAACTTAAGTCAATTAATACACACATACATCTGGGAAAAAGTCAATGAAAACACACACCACCATAACCCCTCTTATAACCACCAATCTTACTCTAGCACTCAAGAACACGATGAACAAACACATCGTTTATAAGTTTTGATTTCTACAAATTATTTGACTGTTTATGTGTTTTAAATGAAGATTACAAACTAAGATATGCAAATTTTAAAGATCATTTTATTTCTAGAAAAAAGAATGAATAAAAACAACATAGTGATTTATGTTCATGTACACATCAATGTTTATTTAAGAATATACTTGATTTTAGAATTCAAACATGGATTCTTATGTTCTTGATCAAGAAAGAGGAGAATGGAAAAGCAATTTAGGGTTAAAATACCTTCATATGACGTCATGTGCATCCTTGACAATGTATATGGTGGCTCCAATGGTGGTACCTATATATACTGCATGCTAGAAAGGGTACGGGTCACCGTATAAGGTATGAATAAATTTAATGTAGGATTTCTATGGCATCATGTAATAGATTAAGGTAACAAATGAGAGAAGGTGGGGTGGGCATTTATTTTGTTTTTTAATTATTAAATATTCAAGAAATTGTTAAAATAGTTGATAAGGGTAAAGTAATCTTTTTAATATCAACATGGACCAACTCCACAACAAAACATGTTGAAAAGAACGACATTTGTAATTTTGTAACAATAAGGACCTTAGAAACATAATATGAGAAACCAAAAGGCCTAGTTTTGTAATTTATCTGAAAATATCAAAAGGATAATATAGTAAATAGTTTGTTTTTCAATAATTATGTACTTTTATGATTATGCAATTACTTTATTATATTTAAGTAAATTAGTACACATTTTGATGGATATAAAAGATTTGGGTGACCTTTA